TGTTAAAATAATTTGATTTATCTTATTATTCAAGTATCCACCTGAATTGAGGACATTCTAAAATAAAAAACTAACATTGTTGCAAACTATATATGAGCATGATACTAAGACGGTAGTAATAAATAATTCATATTGAAATATTTTCTAAGAACATAATTTTACTTTGTTTGTCATTAGAACCATCTAATATTGAACCTAGCATAGAATTAGGATATGCTTGAATCTCATAGATTAGATCAAAAGTTTGACAACTTTTAGTAACTCGCCTTTCAGGTAGATGGAATGAGGATTTCCCTTGGTAGAAGCAGGAAATACGGGAAGCACTGTAAGCTGAGTCAACTGGATGTATATCGGGTAAAAATTGCACAAAATGTTTGCAACATTTAATTCCAAGTAAAAATTCAGATGCAGAAATAAATAGTTACCTGTACAAAACAGTTTCGCTATCTCTTAACTTGTTGTACAGCCTGTTAATTTTCGATGCAGAGCAGCTATTTCCTGTGTTGGGAGTGGGCTGCCAATATCCTGATGGCATTGTTATCTCAGTGGAGATTGTAGGAGTTGTAATTTGGACAGAACAACTTTCCAGTGTGATATTTACAATCTTTTAAATGTGAAGTTCCTCACGTGTTAACCCCACCAGCAACATCACTCAATCGGTGTGAAAATAGACAATTTTAAAGATATTTACAAGCTTTCAAATAAAAATTTCAAAATTGGCTTGGTCCTCATGTCCATGCTACCTCAAACTAGAAAACAACTTACTCATACATAGTCATAGATAATCTAAAAGCAAACAAAATGAAGCACAAACATTTCAAAACTCAATTTACAAAAGTGTAATTTTCCAGAACACTTGGTCAACTTAAATTGACAACAAGCCTAAACTATATGTAACAATTTTTTTCGGATATGTGTTTTGGAGAATGTAGGAGTTGTGCAATGGGGAGAAAGAGAGACAACTCTGTTAGCCGAACATAGAAGAAAGAGGGAAATTACAATCCTATTTTGCTGAACAAACACAAATCTAAATACGTAAAAACTAAAATAAAAATAAAAATTGGACAACTCACCTAGGAAATTAAAGCTTGTAACATCGGTGTGAATTAAGCATAGAATGATGGTGGATAAGAATTTGGAACACAGCAAGAACCGGTAGAACAAGCAAATCTACTCATCACTTTTGAAAACAGAGACATCACCTCAAATATCAACCCTAACCACAAAACAGGAAATAAAATATTTATAACAAAACAGGAAAAAACTTTGTATTATATAATTTCATATATACAAACACAGTAGAAGGAGAAAGATTACCAATCAGATCCACTGACAAATAGAGATTAGAGAGATGTCTACTGTACATTTGATTTGTGCCCTTTTTAGTTAAAACTTAAGGAATTAAAAAACCTAACTTGATATAGGAATAGTTTTTTTATCTTTCTAAAATCCAATTATACACAATTTGAAAAAGAAGCAAACTTTACCAACCACATTTTTGCAAGTTACAATTATATGTAATGAAATTGAATTTCTGGAAAATGTAGGACTTGTGCAATGAAATGTTTTCGAATATGTCTTTTGGAGAGACATTTCTAAAACGAACATTCGTCCCACCCAACGCTGCAAGCCCCCAAATCATGCACCAACCGTTGCAGTGAAACCCCCAAACGAAGGCGTAGAAGAAGTACGAAAATTACCATCCCTATTCAAAGAAGAGAGAACTAAAGGAATACTTTCTTTCTTAAATTTCGTACCAAATCAAATATACAGCCACATTAACCAGTAAACTTCTCAAATGACACAAAATGTAATTTTCCAGAACACCTGGTCAACTTAAATTGACAACAAGCTTAAACTATATGTAATATAATGAAATTGAATTTCTGGAAAATGTAGGACTTGTGCAATGAAATGTTTTCGAATATGTCTTTTGGAGAGACATTTCTAAAACGAACATTCGTCCCACCCAACGCTGCAAGCCCCCAAATCATGCACCAACCGTTGCAGTGAAACATTGGAACGGTCCAAAGATAAACAGGGAAAAAACTCATCTTGTGAAGCAAAAAAATGGCGATGGTATTAAGATACGCATCTGTGACTGTAAACAACTCCTTTGGGTCGCGATGTTGTACCTGAAGTACAGTTAATACTAATAGGATCAAATTCTGTTCTCAGCCATCTTATAGCAAAACTGCTATCCCCACTTCCGAGGAGACTTTCATAATCGTGATTGCGAGGGTTTAAGTTTTCAACAGTAGGGGATTTATTAGTTTGACAGATCACAACAAGAAGAGGCAGATTTTGTTTCTTGTCAGCAAGGAGAGCTAATGTTCCTTGAGCAATTTCGAGCAATTTTTTATCCACAAATATGACCTTTGCTTCCTAACGCATCAGAAGTATACGATAACATAGCTGAATCATGGCGCATATTTAATGTACAAAGAACGGCTCCAGCCATCAATACTGCAAAATGTAGCTCTTGCATTGCCAGTACATTAGGAGCTAGAGTTGCAACCTACAGATCATATTTCAAAACAAGTCAACATCAAGATTCAAAACTATGTAACATTGTAAACTTCTTATACAAATACAGATTACTGATCATAGAGGAGTTGACTTGGATCTTACCCCACCACTACCCCCGAGAGATCACGAGCAGCGGCCAAGCTAGAGTATTGGTTACAAATTCAGCCGAACCTAATAAATTTGGTCGAAACACTCTATTATTGTCTTAAAAATCCATGAATATGTATGAATTATTAATTTAAAACTCAATAACTTAAGAAGATTATAATTCAGAACTCATAAGCTTCAAACTCTGACTCCACCTCCACCTAACAATCTTAAACTCTGCATCCAATCAAACTAAACACTACAAACTGAAACTAAATGAATACTTTCTTTCTTAAATTTCGTACCAAATCAAATATACAGCCACATTAACCAGTAAACTTCTCAAATGACACAAAATGTAATTTTCCAGAACACCTGGTCAACTTAAATTGACAACAAGCTTAAACTATATGTAATATAATGAAATTGAATTTCTGGAAAATGTGAAAATTATTTAGATCTAAAATGCATCTAACATTCTAAAAACGCATAAAAGGAAAAGGTAATCATATAAATTAAGATTTTGTAATACCAGCAATAGAGAAAGACAACTGAACGAGAAGAAGGCTGCCATATATGAGTCGAGTGAATGAATCTGTCTACATCACCACAATCCATATCCGCTTTCGTAGACTCCCCAACTCCTCCAAACGATGTTGGAATTCTTCGAACTGTTTCTCCAGTTCCCCAAACGAAGGCGTAGAAGAAGTACGAAAATTACCATCCCTATTTCTTTAGCAACTGTAACAACAAGATCTGTAGACACGTACAGTAACAACAAAGAAGAGAGAAACGTACAGTAACTTACAATGAGCTTATGGTTAGATCTGTAGAATTGAGTGACTGAATCAAAGAAGAGAGAAACGTACAGTAACAACAAGATCACTAGAAAGAAGAACTCGATAATTTATGGGTGGAAATGTGAAGGAGAGGGAAATAGGGTTTTGTGTTGAATTGATTGAGTAGCTCCTATGTTATAATGTACAGTGAGCTTTTTTTTTTTTTTATGAATCTTTTTTTTGGCCAATTAGAAATTGGAGGGAGTGTAAAATATATTGGAGGGAATACATTTTTTTAGTGATAATTTTAGAAAAAACTATAATGCTACACTTGCAAAGTGTTGTTTTTAGAATTATAAATATAGCACACTTTAAAAGTGTAGTCATATGTGTAAATAACACTACAAGAAAAGGAATCTTTAGCGAAAGGAAAATTAGTCGTTAAAAGATCAATTCCAGTCGTTAATGGTCCTTTACGACTGGAAAAAAGTTGGTCGTCGCCCGTCGTTAGTAGCTTTGACGTTAAAAGTACACGACCGGATTCTAGTCTGGTCGTTAAGCAACCTTTAGCGACAGCAAGAAAGTCGGTCGTTTTACCCCTTCTACGGCAAAACTTTCCCTTCGTTATTTACCATTTTGGTCGTCCGGTTATTAATTTTTTTTATCTATTCCCTTGTTCTAAACGCTTCTTGCGACCAAAATTCGTTCATTTAACGAACAAATTTCCCTTCGTTGATGGATTTTTTTATAAATATAATATAATTTCTTTTTGTGATTCACAATTAAAAATCATTAGTAAATACACATTCAAATATGACTATATATTATATGTAAACAAAGTACTTCCAAACACAAAATATATAGTCAACACTAAATTCTTGATACCATAATCATTGCACGTAGTTATAAATTAAAAATTATAAAGTGTTTGAATTTTTAAACTCCTAAAAACAAAAATAAAAAATTAGCATATATATGTTCAGATGGAAACAATTTAAAACAAATATCCTATAGCAAATTCCTTGTGCGCTTCAACTTGTTCAACCTCTAACACCTTGTTTCAACTCATTTCACACTTGAAGATTCTTCGTGACTTTCAATTCTCGATCTGTTACACGGATACAAAAAGTTCAAATTAATGAAGTGTTTAGAAAGAACTTTCCAGCCATATGAGCTTTGTGCTAAAAAATTTAAATCAACATACTAAAACATTCAGGTTGGTCTTGGCAGATTATGATGGAGTAAATTTACTCCTCTTTTTGGTTTAGAAGTAAAAGAAGAATGAAATTCTTCTTTGCAATAAAATATATATAGCAGTTCAGCTAGTTTAGACAAACGAGACATTCCTCCTTTATATTTCAAATATAATTGATGCAACAATTTCACTTTACAAAGATCCAAGTTTCGAGAGCATTTCAATCTACCCCACCCCGAAAGAATATTATTTCTCAAGTCATGGCTGAAACTTAAAAATCAAATGTCTATCGATTCCCTCACAGCATATTGAATAGTCATATATAAGTGTACGAAACAAAAATGTTTTGAACTATAATATAAATAATGGATGTCATCACTTTGCTAATACCATCCCAGTTAAGTTCCTCCCAACTGATCTCATGAGTACACTCATCAAAAACAGTGTTGCAACATAAGTTTGAAGACAGTAGGGTATTCCTTATAATATAGTACTATCTGGTAATTAAAGGACTAAAGAAAAATTGTACTCGAGAGCAGTTAGGCCCTTTTACTTCACTCTTTCAATGTTCAAATCATTCCATAGAAAGGAAAAAAACGGAACGAGTGTAAAGCCATGAGTCCCACAACTAAGGCAAAGAAAGTTAAACAAGAAGATGAGGAAGGAAGAGATGAAGAATTGAGTAGAAATTAACTAATTAAATGGTTTGTCACAAGGGATAAAAAACCATGCAATTTTAAATGAGATCATGAATGACTTTATTCATCAGTCTAATTCACTTTTTCGTAACGTTTGCTTGCAGTACTCTGTGATTAGAACTATTTTCAAGCATAGGATGACTAAAAGTTGTAGCCTACTAAAAAAGAATATCACTATGGTATTACCACAATTTTACATATATTAAGCTTATTTGTGACGTATAGAAGAGAAGCCAATAGAGTTGTGCTACTAGAAAAACTGATCAGATCAACAAACTTCAAGTCACAAGTTAAATTTTCCAAGGAAGCAGGGGTTACTTGTAGTTGTTTGTAATATTTTCAAGTGAAGTTATCATTCTATATTATTAGTGCTCTCTGTTCATAACTTGACTAAGCAAAATTGACATGTTTTCTCTCAAAAGAAGTGTATAATAGTAAAAACCGTACTAACCTGTAAAATGATTCAACTAGTATTTTGTTCACTTGACGACAGTGAAGGTGATTGATGTCCAAACATTGGACTTTCAAACCATTCACATTTCTTCTCTATGTTTTCCATGCGTCTTTTCATTGATTCATTTTCCTTTTGACTCGCATTTAGCTCTTCTAATAGTACAACCTTTTCCTTTTTACTCGCAATTAGATCTTCTAAAAGATCAGCCTTTGCAGAGCTACCTCCTTTCAAATCCCTACTAGTTATTCCGCTGCCAAATCCAAAAACATGACTCTTGCGCTGAGGTCCGAAGCATCTCTCTACTACCTCAATATTAGTAAGAGATGGCTCAGATTGTAGTACTTCTTGAATTTCTATCTGTAAAAAATAAGAAGAAAAATTAAGATAGTGCAGTACATTAAAAAAGTAAATAGAATAAAATTTAAAGAATAAGCATTACATATTTTTCATAGGTTTCAGGTTCACAAAGCTTCTTGTCCTTCTTACGAGTCTCAAAGAAGATAGTCTCCATGTATGGTGGATTACAATGTTTTCCTCCCTTCACATTCAAATAAACAATTATATATTTGACACGAAGAGGTGTTTTTTCATAATATTACAAGAATCACATACATACCAATTCATAAATAATCTCTCTAATCGTCTTGCTACCAGTAAATATATATTTATAATAGGAACTTCCTCTGACAAGGAAACAATGATATCAATTACCAGCAAGATACATTTTGATGAAATGTTTATAGAGGCTTGCCGCAAATAAACAATCTCTTTGAAAGAAGGTATTACTCAAAAGCATCCAATGGATGCAAAATGGACAACCAAGCCAGTCATTACACCTTATGGAGTCATTCTATGGAGAAAATTAACAAAAAGAATAAGAATAATAAATAACATAATCGCATATAGTAAAGTAGCATAGAAAATGAAAAAAATTAGAAGGGAAAAAGGTGATATTATTTTAACACACCATTTCTTTAAAGCAGGTCTTGGGAACATCAGCTAGGCATTCGGGCCCAACAAGGTAGTAAGTTTCTAGAGGAAGACAAATTCTTTATAGCACGCGCCCCGGTTAACTCCAAACACAAACCCCACAATCAATCCAAAACAGAGGGAAATTTAACAATCTACTGTGGTTCCTCCATTTTAAGAAGAAGAAATCAACACATATAGACGCAAATATATAATCATGCAGGCGTTCCATCAAACACATAACTTCAGTCATTCTTGAAAGAAACAAATGACTTAAAAAAAACTAGATCAAGTGTCCCACACATTGCAACAACCATCAACTTCACCCATCTTATAAGAGAACACATTTGAGTTACAATCTACATTATTGTCACCTTCTAGTTATGTAATTGCTTTTCACAACATTTTCTTACATTACAACATAACCTTAACACATTAAGCAAACAAACTAAATGTAATTAGAATATGTTTTCTTTTCTTAATCCCCTCTCCACCACTTTGAAAGTTCATCATGATAAAGAAATAAAACAACAATAACATACTTAGTGTAGTATTATAGATGGGGTTTTGGGAGGATAGTGTGTACGCAAACCTTAGAGGATATAGCAATAGTAGAGAAAGCATTACATAACATTGAGAAGATAAGGAACTGATAAAGAAACAATGTAAAAGAATTTTATAAACACATTGCATCTAGAGCTGGCTATTGTGAGAAACAACAAGTCATCTGATTGCCTTATGAACCTTAACTTGGGTGATGGTGCTGGAATTATCCCAACAGAATGATCATTTGATAAGATGAAAGATGAAGGTTAAGATTGTTAGCTCAACTGACAATTGCCAGTAGGTTGTCTTACTGCTACAAATCACCATTGTGCTCATTTAACTCAAGTTCAACTTGATAAGAAGAAAGATGAAGGTGAAGATTGTTAGCTGAACTGACAATTGCCAGTAGGTTCTCTTACTGCTACTAAATCTCCATTGTGCCCATTCATCTCAAGTTTTATAATAATTAATTAGTTCTCTTACATAGAATTGGGATGACTAGCAGTTTATCAATAAATAACTTCCTTAGGAGTGCGTATTTTGGAGTATTAGGCGAACATGAATCAAGTTTGTAATAAATATGACAAGCTAACAAAGAGAACAAATCCAGCTCTCAAAAATGGATTGTAGCTTGGATGCTCAACTTGATACCACAAATATGCTTATATCATTTACAAAATTCAAGTGTTCTTTCATGCTATACAACAAATATGCTATATATTTATAAGTTTCAAGTGTTATTTCAACTTGATACCACAAATATGCTATACCATTTAATAGTTTAAATTGACAGTCCAGTGTGATATTTTAGCTATTTACCCTGTCAAACAGACTTCATTCATACTAGATTGGCTTTCTCCAGTCACTAAAAATACAAACTCAAAATAATCTATAATGCCAATCAACCAGTTCACATAAAATGGATGGAGAGTTACGTATCACAGGCTCACTTCACCTAAATAGTTATTAAAAATATGTTCACTGCATGATATCCCTGAAGGGAATGATAGTCAATGTAATTTATAGAACCTGTCTTGAAAGTATACAGTAACGAATTGTTACAACTTCATCCAACAAAAACGTGTCCTCATACTTGTTCCAGTAGTTTAGCAAGTCAATCTTGTCAAAAAGCTAGTCTACCAGTTCAAAACTTGAACACAACAAGATCGAACCGTTTGGAATAGACTTATACTTTTTTTAATAAGAGTGAAAGAAAAATACACTGTCCAACCTCTCCCAGTTAATGTAAAGAGTCAAATCATTTAGTTTGCACACCCAAGTCAACACAAAAAAATGAAAACCAGCAGAGCTAAATAAATTAACAAATGAGGCTAATCAAAGTTCTAAGGTTAAAAATAAAAATTCAACCAAACTGAAATTTCATATGAGATAAAGAGAAAGGTCTATTAATTTATTACGAAATAGGAAAGTGATTCTAAACTCTTTTCATAATCAAATCAAAAAGGTGATTTTTGATACTTTACCGATATGCTTTCTATCATATTAATAGGTTAATTATGAGCGTAATTCATTAATTTCTAGATCAACCTTTCAAGTATTAAAAACCTCTATAATTCCAATTATCAACACATCCAAACATAACTAGTTTTATATTTTTATGTAGTTTTTCAATGCATTTAACAAGGAATGAATATAACAAATCAACTAAAAAATATACAAATTGATTTCAAAACAATCATGCATTTTTTAAACGGGATCAGAATAAAACCTGAACATACTTGATAGAATCACAACTCCAAAGTTGCTCGACCCTCTTCTTACAAGCTAGCAAAATCTCCCCAACTTGAGCCGGAGAAAGATCACTCAAATTTACTAAATTAATCGGCAATTCAATAACCACATCGTGAAACCTGAATCCACTGACTGCTACATACGAAAAAAAATGAATTTTGGAAATTCAATTCTCTATTGGATGTCGGATAGAGATTTTGAATAACTCTGATTTCCAATTGTTGGTGGAATCTGCAGGCATATGGAATATCTACGGCGCACACTGTGGGTTCGATTTGGCCTTAAAGTATGACGGTCAGTGCGATCCCGCTGGCGAGAAAACTACCCACCTGTTGTGGATTCTGTCTTTCCAGATTTTAGGGCTCCGATTTGGCGAAACTGCCGCTGTAATTTTAATATTGATTTGGGAGTTCGATCTACTTTTGGGTGAGGATTTAAAAGCATAAGGAGGATATAATCCTAAGTGACGACAAGCCACTCTAGTTAACTGAAAAAAAATTCAAAGAAAAACCTACCATCACCCACCGATGCTGGAAATTACACATCAATTTCTCCAAAATGCGAAACCATCATCGGTACCTTCTCTGTTGTCTTCGCTTTGAAAAGCATATGAGGAACAACAAAAAGTTGGCTATTTTTTTTCCAGATGTAATATCGTTGATGGTTCAAAGAGATGTTTTCTTCCTAGAAGATTTTTTGAATTCTATCTCAGTGATGGGGTGAAGCAATGACAAACCCTAGGAGTTTAAGGAATTTCATTTTTATTTTAGCTCAGAGGTTTATTTTTGGTTGAAAGAGAGCAATTTTGATTGGACGAATAACTTATAAATTTTCTGCTTAATTAATTAATAACATCAACGACTCAAAATTATAGGTTTTACTAACCAAATATTTTTCCCTCGCTATTGGCTAGTATAAAAATTGAGATTAACGATGGAAAAATTTGTCTGTCGCTATATGTGTACTTATAGCGACCATATTCTTGTCCCTTCGTTAAGAAATGGTCGCTAAAAGCTATATTTCTTGTAGTGTAAGTATTACCAATTATATCATGATATGGCAACGCTTATAAGTGTAGCCTATACCACTAAAGAGCATGCTTTAAAAGTGTTGCTAATGTCATCGTGGTCAAAAACTAAAAATTAAGGCTACGCTTTAAAAGCGTACCCAAAAATATTTTAGGCAACACTTTACAAGTGTTGTCCAGATTTAGTGTGACCTTAGGCCTAAAATGGTGTAGTGGTCTGCTTGTGCAATGTGGAAGTGAAGTCCAATACCCCTACTCCTACTAAGTAAACTCACCAAGAAATCATAGTATAGTTCATGTCTCATTTATTATCTTATCATATAGTGAAGAGTAGCTATAACTGACATAGACCATGAGAGCTACATGGAATCCGGTGACGTGTAACCCCACACCGAAAGAAGGTGTCCTACTTGCCTAAGGTAGAACTAACATGTTTAGGTTTTAGGTGGATCCACTAGCTAAAGTCCTATGTGGGCACATAGTTATGGGATAGGGAGATTGCTTCTAGAAACCTGACCTATTGCATTGGCGGAGGAGTTTCCATCTCATGAGTTTACTTTTAGATGACCGGACCTATTGTATTGACGGAAAGGCCTTTACCTCATTTTCCATATCCACTCGGTACTAAGTATTATTTCCCAAATTATACATAATTAGTCTTAAATTGTATTTACATGTGTGAAGAAGTGCTCTACCCTTCATTCAATACAATTCATAATATAGCTCATAGATTCATTTACGTGAGAACTAACTTTCAACCTTAGAATCACCATTAACACGTGAGTAAACCGTTAACATTATTATTCATAGTGTTTTCATGAGAAATAACCTTTCAATCAACACAACAATATTATCACCATCTTAGACAAGTCATACATGAATATGTGTAAAGGGTAAAGGGAGAATTGACCTTTCAACAATACCTTAATTTACACAATAGTGATAAGATCTTTACCTTTCAAGTGAATTATAAGTTCACATACAACATTAATCAATCATGTACAAACCTTCATAATTTACCCCGTTCAAGGGTCATGAACCAACTCTCACAATCACACTTAGAAATACTACTTTAAGCATGAATAAATCAAGATTAAATAATTTGATTAACATAGGAACAATTGATAGTAATCATCTTATATCAATACACCCATCACAATTCATGAAATTGGGGTCATGGGGTATTTCATTAGTTCATGGGGAATTTTACAATAAAAACCACCATTAAACATCAAAGCATCCATAATATAATGGATTTAACGTAATAAAACCGTTTTTAGGAAGAACCCGTTGCTAAAATGAAAATCCTAGTTTTTGAACAATATCCCAAATTTCGAAATTAGAGTTGAAATGCTTCATGGAGAAAAGTGTTACATGAATCAAGGTTCCCATACCTTAATTGAAGCTTTGCCCACGAATTGGAGTTGAGAAGATGGATTCTTGACCCTTAACCTTCAACTTCTAGGTGTTCTTCAGTGGAGGAACTTCTAGAGAGAGAAATATTGAAAAGAGAGGAATTTGGGGAAATATTTGGGTGTTTGTGAATAATGACCAAGTCTTGTGAATTTTGACTTAAAACCAATATATATTTTACCGCTAAAATACCCAAAACACCCCCACTTTAATTGGACTTAAAAAGTAAAACACATAAATGATCCTCACTTAAAGACCTCGTCCAGGTGTCACGCCAATTTTCACGAGCCGTGGTGAGGACCACGACTCATGGTCCCTCTCGTGAAGATTGGGGCAGTGGCTAGAGTTTTGTGGCATTTGGCTCATGAGTCCATGTAATCTCCACGGGCCCCTTCACGGCTCGAAAGTGGACCACGACACGTGGTCATTCCCGTGGAGGGTTGCGGCAGTAGCCCCTCCAAGGTGGCCCAAGGCTTACACATCCAAGGCATCACTACGAGGGGCTCTACGAGCCATGGTCAAGACCACGAGCTATGGTCTAGACCACGAGCTATGGTCCAGACCACGAGCTATGGTCCCTCCCGTGGTCCTTGAGGCAGTAGACTCACCACTTGGAGCCTTTTGCTTATTTTTCTAAGGCAACTCCACGAGCACCTCCGATAGCCCTGGTCATGACCACGGACCATGGAAGTTGAGGCAGTGACAAGGAAAAAATGGTGGCCAACTTTCATGGACAAGTCAAGACCATGCCCACCTTCACAAGCCGTGGTGAGGACCACGACTTGTGGTACTTCTCGTGAAGGTTGAGGCAGTCGCTAAAGGCTAGGGGAAGCCTTGGCCTTTGGCTTTGGCTTGGCCCCTTAGCCATGGTACTTGTCGCATGGCCTTGGCTATTATAACTCTCATTCAAGACGTTCATCCTCACGTTTATGCTCTAGTTTAACTTATCATTTTCCGGAGTGTTACATTATTTCCCTCTTCGGAACATTCATCCTTAAATGGTGATGTAGACACCTTACGGAAGTAAAGACTCAAGACTAGCAGCCCAACTTGTATGCAACTTCAAAACAATGCACAATTAAAAGAAAGAAACATCAACTCCATCTCAAGACATAATGAATGCATTCACAAGAAAGTAAGAACTTAGTCCACAACTCATTATGCACCAAACTCATCATTACACATGATCATAGGAGGAACTACCTTCTCCAACTTTGAATGAGCACAACACACAACATTATAGAGCCAATATGCCTTTCATCAATACATCATTAAGCATGTTCATCAATTCTCTTCATGAAGTCAAAGATGCAATCATTATACTAAAATACAAATCAGCATGAGGAACATATACATCATGAAAAATCAACACATGCTAAACATGAATGCTCACAAGAACATGCACATCATAGAGAGATCATGGAAAACTCATACAATACACACGACTCCCAAAACACTTAAACTCAAGAGGAATTACTTACCTCAAGTTTGAATAGGGGTAGAAGGAAAAAGATGAGGATAACGGGACATCATATCGACCTCGGCCTCCCATGTAGCACCCTCAACTAAGTGAATCCTCCATAGAACTTTAACGGAGGCTACTTCCTTATTTCTCAACCTCTTCACTTGCCGGTCCAAAATTTCAACCGGAACTTCTTCATAGAAAAGGTTCTCATCAACTCCTAAACCCTCTAAAGGAAGGATGGACAGCGGATCACCAATGCAATTTTTAAGCATGGAAACATGAAACACCGAGTGAACCGGAGCCAACTCATTTGGCAAGTCCAATTCATATGCAACTTTTCCAATACGCTTCAAGATTTGATAGGGACCCACAAACCCGGGATTAAGTTTCCCCTTCTTTCCAAACCTCATCACACCCTTCATGAGTGAGATCTTCAAATAGACCCAATAACCAACTTCAAATTCTAGATCCCTCCTTCTATTGTCGGCATAAGACTTTTGCCGACTTTGGGCCGTTTTCAACCTTTCTCTAATGAGTCAAAAATTTTCAATGGCATCATAAACTAGTTCGGGACCAATTAGAGAAAACTCACCTACTTCAAACCAACCCACCGGTGCTCTACACCTTCTACCATAAAGTGCTTCAAACGGAGCCATGGCAATGCTTGAGTGGTAGCTATTGTTGTAGGCAAATTCTATCAAGGGAAGATGATCGTCCCAACCCTTAAAATCAATCACACACGCCCTAACATGTCCTCTAAGGTTTGAATGGTTCGTTCTACTTGACCGTCTATTTGAGGGTGGAAAGCGGTACTAAGTTTAACATTGTTACCATGTCCTTGTTCAAACACCTTCCAAAAATGTGAAGTAAATTGAGTACCTCGATACGATATGATAGACAAAGGAATGCAACTTCACTACCTCCTTGATGTATAATCTTCCGCCGAAAAGGTAACCTTGACGGGAATGAAATGGGCTGATTTCGTCATCCTATCAACAATAACCCAAATAGAATCATGTTGCCTTCGAGTACGAGGGAAACCTAGAATATAGTCCATATTCACCTCCTCCCACTTCCAAGTGGGAATATTTATATCTTGGAGCAAACCTCCCGGTTTTTTGGTGTTCGGCCTTGACTTGTTGACAATTAGGACATTTGGCCACAAAGCCCGCTATATCTTTTTTCATTCTATTCCACCAATAGACTTTTCATAGATCACGGTACATCTTTGTGGCTCTCGGATGAATAGAATATCGTGAAC